TACTTTTTTATCAGTGGATGTGCTTAAAGCTATGCAATCAGCTAATAGATCTTTAATTTCTTGCCAACTCTTTTGTGGGAAACTGTTGTTCTTTTTTCTCAATCCTGCTTCCATTCCACAGTTTAGCACTGGGATTTTCCAATATAAGTGAAGAATGAAAGAAAAAATAATGATCAAAGAGAGATGTTAAGCTCCAAAGAGATTCCACACCTCATCAGCCAGGGACTTCTATGTGCTCCCTGCAAGAATCTGGCAGCAGGTTGAATACTGCAGACAGCTGGTTTGCCCTTAAGGTAGTTGACATTTCTTAGGCAATTGATGTGAAATTTACATTTTCTCCTCTTCGTCATTGGAGGGAGAGCAGTCCAATTTACATAAAAATAAAAGATCATGTAATCTTTGAGCACTGAGTTATTGCTTTCCTCCTACTTCTCAGTTTCATCATTCATTTTTACGAGTTTAAAAGGCAGAAGTCATAAATACTCCAAAAGAAGGAGAGGAAATGTGGTTGCCCTTGGAAGGTCTAAAGGTCTTTCATCTTAAATTTCTCAGAAGTCTCAAACCGGGTCCAATGAAGGACCTAAAAATGGGCATGGTGTCGAACTTCTGGAGGGTTGAGAATGCACATTAAGATCAGCTTAGCACGAGCACTAGAGGACAATAGTTTCTTGGGAGTACATAAGGGAACAATAAGCCCAGAACAAGATAGCATTGGCCTAGGCAGAATCCTTCCTAATTCACTGAACTATAAAGAGAAGGAGGTACAGCACAATCAGATTTGCAAAGATTCTATTGTTGTAGCCAAACTGAACAACAATAATGTTAGCCTTTCTGTGGAATTGGTTTCCTGGTCTGGTCTACTTAGTGGGCCTAACACAAAGCAGAAAGTTATCTGCTAGGAATGCTCTGAATTGTACTAATTGCAACAGCCTTCTAGTTCTCTTACTCTCCAACTCCTCTTGCTAGGTAAACATTCTATAACTTGAAATCCAACCTATTGGTTGTATATAAACAATACTGTCAAATAATTTACTAAGACTGTATTACTATTATTCTTCTCTTCCTTACTAGTATCTATCTCTTTCCAGTTACTACTATAACCATGTTTCTTGTATCTTTCAATTTATATTGTTTTTATTTGTTTCCTAGTATGATTTGATAGCTTATTAGTAACCTTGACTATCACTAAGTGTTGTATCTTTTTATTCTTGATGAATGCATTTTATTCTCTTTATATACACCAAGAGCATATACACCAAAGACAAATTCCTTGTGTGTCCAATCACACTTGGCCAATAAAGAATTATATTCTATTGTAGAGGGTGTAGATAATGCCCTTGTAGGAACATGGGAAGTTCTATTGACAGTACTTTCATATGACTGCACTGTGTTCAGGTAGACGTATGCTGTCAGTGATCTAGTCAATCTCTCTGTGAGCCAGCCTACCTCTTTCCATTTCATTTACTAAACATAGAATAAATTGTGGTGCTCAGATTCACGGTCCTCTTGGGCATACTGTTTTCCCATGAGTTCAAAGAGGCTTGTTCAAAAGCTTAGTTAGTGTCAAGCTTTGCAAGGCTGGCATGCTCAGGAAATAAGAACCACTGGGATTTCTGGGAAGATCTGTATTACCTGTAGGAGAATAAAACAAAACCTATCCAAGCAGTTCTCCAACTTATATATAGTGTAATTAAGTGGAATTGCTTTGAGTTTCTTTCTCATGCTTCTCCCATTCTTTTGGCCTGAGATCTTTTTTTTTTTTTTGCAACTTTCCTCTATTTTCCTAGGTTATCTTAGACAATTCGTCATAGTGAATTAAAATCTTCATTTAGCAAATCAAACTATGGCATTGAAGAAGTTTGATATCTTCTCTGTCCATGCTCTCCTCTGTTTACATTGTAGTTTTTGGTAATGTATCTCATGATTTTTACAGGGCTTTCTGGGTATTATTTCTGAGAAAACGCTACTGCTCCTTCCTTGAGTTCCTGTTGATAGCATAGATAACATCAGCATCTGAACTGAAAGGACTTTATTATAGTGTGAGAGCCATGAAGAAGGATGAAGTAGCCACAGAGCCACTGATGAAAGTATTCAAGCCAGTTGTTTGAACTCAACATTTTTTTAACATAAAAAAAATCTCACATTATAACGAATGGCATTTAAGATGCAATTATTTTCATAGAAGTAACATGGATGAACTTTGTACATAAGACTAATAAAATCTTGAATACCATTCCTTTTAGACAAAGCAGGTACGGTGGAGATTTTTTGTGCATGAGGAGGTAGGTGGGTTGCTTATCTCTGCTGCTCACCCCCTAGTTCCTGCTTTATGCATTCATACATTTCTAAGTCTGTGTGTACATGTATAAGTACACACAAATCTATATGTGTTGAAGTCACCTATGAACTGGAGAGCACTGCAGCAGAAGAATATAGTTAGAGGAAAGACCTCTCTTCTTTCCATCAAAATATTCAGTCCCATGTTTGCTTTGCTGAGAAGGAAGAGTCATGAGGTTTTTTGACACATGTTTACATTTGACATAAAACGAGACTGAGCAATGGATTTCAGTCATTTTATTAATGAAAAGTATTGATGAATTGATTTTCTGTCCACTTATGGTCCTTCAAGCAATGTACTTTTAAAAAGAAATGCAATAAAATTAAGGAAAAACAAACAAACATTCAAACAAGCTAGAGGCTTGTTTGGTAGCCTTGGTATGTATCTATAAATTTTCAAAATAGATTCCAATCTCAGGCAGAATCTGAGGGTCAAAGGCTCAAGATTGCAAGGTTTGCAATTCAAAGCACAGGGAGTGGGAGTTAACAGGTGGTTATCATCAATGAAAAGCTTGTGCTTGCTGCTCAATAGAAGGAGCTAATTTAGTGGGGCGAGACTCTTTGCATATAAGAAATCTGTCATCCTTTGTTGTACTCTCTTTGCAGCCTACCAAACTCTTGTGTTGGGAGGGTAGTAATTTCATGCCCTCCTCTTTAGAGAGCAATGGCAACTGTGTCTGCTGTTTGCTGTTTTGCTCTCCTTCTTTTGCCAGGTCAGGTAGAGCTGGAGATGGCTGCTCGTCATTTGTCAGCACATCTGAATCTGATTCTGGCACTGTTTGCCCTTTGTTGGTCCCCTTCTCTGATTCTGAATCTGAGCCCAGATTTTATTTTTTTAATTTGATTTATATGCCGCCCTTCTCCGGAGACTCAGGGCGGCTTACAATGCGCTAAGCAATAGCCTTCATCCTTTTGTATATTTATACAAAGTCAGTTTATTGCCCCCACAAACTGGGTCCTCAATTTACCTACCTTAGAAAGGATGGAAGGCTGAGTCAACCTTGAGCCTGGCGAGATTCGAACCTGCAGTAATTGCAGGCAGCTGGTCTTAATAACAGGGTGCTTTAGACCACTGTACTACCAAGGCTCTTAGATTCAGATTCTGACAATGGATCCCAAAACTCTTCTGATTAATGGAGGAGCTGAAGGAAATGTAACAGGTGAAGAGAGACATGGAATGTGGAAAACGAATGAACAAAGAGTTAAGCTGACAGAACTCAAATTAAAACCACTAATAGGACTTACATTGTGGCAGTCAGCATGATAAATTTCAGCATTTGTCTGACCTTATAGCATCCATAGATAACCAACCCAGTTCTTGGTTGGTATCTTGGTTCTTGGGGCTACTAGTTTTCCCCCCTGTGTTTTAGACCCATGTCTCACCTGGTTGACCAAGGCTTCCCAGGATGTGATATGTAGTTGGGTTCTGGCAGTGGTGAAATATTCTTTGAGAGCGAGGATGGTTCTGCCATCCCTTAAAGAGGCAGTAGAACACCCAAAACCTCAAAACGCCATTGATAGACCCAACCATGGGGAACAATTTTTGTCTGATCTCCAACATTCATGGCATCCTCCTGTGTCAAGTTTGGAGATTGGGAATGGCAGCACTGTTTTGTATTATGTACCTTCCTCTAGAGCCAGTTCCAGCCAGTGTTGATGTGGAGGAGAGGATAGCCCATGACTCTGGTTTTGTGGGATTGCTCCAAGGCTCAGAACTCTCCCCACTTCTGTTTACTTGAAACCACTCGGTGACAGCACAAGTTGAGGTATCATCAATATGCAGGTGATACCCAGCATGTTTAGGGCATGACAGCAGGGTTCCAATATTTGAGGGGCAGCCACAAAAAAGGATCAACCTATTTTCCAAAGCACCAGAAGGCAAGAGAAGAAACAATGGATGGAAACATATCAAGAAGAGAAGCCACTTAGAACTAAGGAGAATCTTCCTAACTGTGAGAACAATTAACCAGTAGAGTGGCTTGCCTTCAGAAGCTGTGGTGCTACATCACTGGAGGTTTTCAAGAAGAGACTGGATAGCCACTTATCTGGAATGATATAGGATCTCCTGCTTGAGCAGGGGGTTGGACTAGAAGATCTCCCAGAGTCTTCCATCTCTATTATTCTGTTTATATCTTCACTCCTAACTGACCAAATAACATCATGGAGATTCTATCTTCATGCCTAGGTGCTGTATAAGCTTGGATGGGAAAGTATAAGCTTGAGATCAACCTTAGCAAGATTGTCTCTCAGTTTTAGGGCCTCCAGGTTCCAGTGATTTTCCATTAAAAACACAATTCGCTGTGTTTTTATGCCTGCCTCTGCCAGATTAAACTCTAAAACAATTATCTTCATCTCTGGTTTGACCCTGCTATTCTGGTTTGGCTATTATTCCATTCTCCTTGGCTATACATGAAAAAATGCCCCCAAGGAACTGTCAGGAGATGCAAGAGAACTCGAAAATCTGATTTCTAATTTGTTTTGATTCCTCAAAAAGTGTTGAGTTGTCAGCAATGAACAAGGAGTCTGATGTTTATTGCTCTGATCTGCATCAAACAAATCTCGGAGAAGGTAGCCTCCCCCACCACTCTTCCATGAAGTTCCAAAATGATGCATTACGTTCTTTTAAATTATTTTTAAGCAGAGAGAGAGAATAAAAAAGAGAATGTAATATTGCACTCCTTTATTTTATGTTGTTTTGCATTTTTATAGCCATTTATGGAAATATTTGTGTGAGAGACTTGAAAGGACACCAGTTTGGAAGAAAAGAAATCAGTTGGTGAGCATTCAATTTTGTAGCATACCTCAGGAAATTGGGACTCTGCACGACATGTACTTGCTCTACTGCCGAGTGATAATCCCACTTTGCATTATTATATCAGGAGGAACAGGGATAGGTCTGGTCTCTTTACACCAGTCTCAAGATTTCAAGTCAGAATTTGCCAAAGAAAATGTCTGGCTCAGTATTACACTCACCCCTTCAAATAAAGCTCTGACTTAATCTCCCCTTCCAGTTTTTACTCCAGTTTTTCTCCCAAAGTTCCCTCGCACATCCATTCTGATTAAAACAGTTCTGGCTGCTCTGAATTTTCTGTGAGTTACCTCCTTATCTACCGGCCATATTCTGTTTATAAGGAAAGTAAATCCCGTTAGTAGATCTGAACGAATGCACTTCTCTCAAAATGAACGCCTGTATTAACAGTGCTGAATATTAGATCCCCAAAGGGAATGACTGGTAATCTTGAAAGGGACAGACAAGAAGCATGGCAGAGAATGCCCACTGCCCTGCTTCAGAAGAAGGAATATTCCAATTTTCCAAGAACTCGGCTTCTCAGGAGTTGAGCAAACTGGAATAAAAATAAAGAAATAGCATAACTGGCATTATGAGTTCAGTACAAAGCAAAGAATATGTGCATGAGAACTAAAGAATGTTTCAGTAATTTTGACGAAAGTGAATGGGCAACTAGGTCTGTAAAATACACAAGCAATGAATGAAGCAATTAGCATTCAAATCTACCCTGTCTCAGGATGTAGGGGTTCCATTGAAACATCAGGACTTATAATACATTACTAGATCCTTCTTCCATGACTTTGTTTTATCACCTTTTAAAGCCATTTAAGCCAAGACCCAACACACTTAGGTGGGAGAATGTGGCTATAAAACTGATCTATAGTAGTGATATCGTACTATCATTCATAACTTTCCTTTCAAGGTAGCTTTCAATCCCTTGGTGCCTTCTTCTCATTTTCTTGATCTTTGGGATTTGCGATTTTCATCTCTTTGCGTTCCTTCCCTTATGCACTTTATTTCAATGAAGCTCTCTTTCTCCAGGCATGAAGAGACTTTTGCCCAATCCAATGCTTTCTATCCAGAGACAACAGGACTTTTCAGAATTTCAAGCCTGTTGCTGATATCCAGCATATCCAGAAGGCACCTGATTAGGAGAAGTTGCTTTAGTATTAGTCCCAAAACATCTTTGGGACAACCATGACCTGGATGGATGACTGAGAATCTCCATAAACATTTGCTTTAGTAATCAATTTCTTTCTTTCATCTCGGGGTCTAAAACAGATCTAAAAATCACACAATAAAGTACAGGAAAGTTAGAGTTTGCAAAGAAGATTTTTCAGGATAGAACAACTTATGAGCAGAAATATCGTATTTTTCGGAGTATAAGACGCACCAGAGTATAAGATTTTAGTATTTGGGGAGGAAAATAAGAAAAAAGCTGATTGGTGGGTGGGTTGGCCTCGTGGAATACCCCAATCAGCTGTTTTCAGAGGTGAATATTAGCAACAGGTTGGTTGGTTGTGAGCTCTGTGCCTTGCTTTTTTTTCTGCCTCTGAAACTTCTAAAACTCTGTTTCAGAAAAAAACGTTTTTTTCTGCCTCTGAAAGCCTCCGAAACAGAGCTTCAGGAAAAAAGACTTTTTTTCTGAAGCTTCTTTCAGAGGCTTTTTTTTCCTGAAGCTTCTTTCAGAGGCTTTTTTTTCTGAAGCTTCTTTCAGAGGCTTTTATTCTAAAGGACTATCTGTACTCTGTTCAATTTCCTTTCTTTGGTATTGGTATGTAGATTAACCTCTTCTAATCTGTTGGTTATTGTGTCATTCTCCAGATTTGTTATCATAGTTTGGTTAGAACCTCTACTGATTCTTCTTTTGTTGCTTGTCATATTATTTTAGATAAAAGCCTTTCTGAGGCTTTTTTTCTGAAGCTTCTTTCAGAGGCTTCTTTCAGCCTCTGAAATCTCCGTTTGCAAGGCTGGGCAGGGCTACATTTGGAGTATAAAATGCACCCAGATTTTCATCCTCTTTTTTGGGGGAAAAAGGTGCGTCTTATACTCCGAAAAATATACTACTTATACTACTGAAAAATTCAGTAGATGTTGAATTCCCACCATTCATCTTCTATACTATGTATTTGAGGTTCTACGACCCATTTTTTTCTCTGTTCTTTTCTGGTATCATCAAATCTAGGGTATCTCTCATCTTTGCTTTGGCTGCCATGAAGAATAGAGAAATGTACAGCATATTAACAAGGGAACATGAAATAAGTTCTATCCCCTCAGATCTTTGATGGCAGTCAATATTTGACACAGACAGATGTGTTGAAAATGTTCTGAGTTCTGAGTCCTACAGAAAATGAGGACTTGCTGAGGACTTGGAGGGTCTGTTCTGATCACGTTTCCCGCAAGTATGAAGCCCAATAGCTTTGGACCTTTGACCCCAGGAATTTAAATTTCCCCCTTTTCAAAATTAAATATATTGCTGCTCTATTTTTGGAACTTGTAAATATGAGAGTATTTTTTTTAATTAATGTGAATTGTTTATATTTAATTGCATTTGGGGGAAAGTCGATCCTGACCTGCTCACTTTAAAAAACAAAATTGGCACTATGTAATTCCTTTTTTTGGGGAGGACGCAGTGGCTCCGTGGCTAAGACGCTGAGCTTGTCGATCAGAAAGGTTGACAGTCCAGCAGTTCGAATCCCTAGTGCCGCGTAATGGGGTGAGCTCCTGTTACTTGTCCCAGCCTCTGCCAACCTAGCAGTTCAAAAGCACGTAAAAAATGCAAGTAGAAAAATAGGGACCAGCTTTGGTGGGAAGGTAACAGCGTTCCGTGCGCCTTTGGTGTTTAGTCATGCAGCCCACATGACCATGTCTTCGCACAGCGCTGGCTCTTTGGCTTTGAAACAGAGATGAGCACTACCCCCTAGAGTCGGGAACGACTAGCACATATGTGCGAGGGGAACCTTTACTTTACCTTAATTCCTTTTTTACTCTTGCTCATCTGTGATTTCCAAGATTTGAGGTTTATACTTTGTAACTTTTGTTTCCACAACCTGCAGTATTTATTTCAGTGCAGAAGTTAAGTCACACTCAGCTCCCTCTGGAGACAAGGAAGGCAAAAAGATTTGGCTGTGCCCCAAAAAGTGTAGTAAACCCCCCCATAAAAGTAATGATCCTAATACAAATGGAAACCAATGCCTTGGTTCTTGAAACCCATCATTTTTACTCCCTTTTAACAGCCAAAGGATTTACAGAAAAGTGTACAACGACCATTTTTCTTATGTTATATTGGGCACTTAATGCTTTTAAAAGGATAACAACACAGGCCAAGCTGAGATTACTTTTTGCCCTTTAAAAAAAAAAAGGAATGTGCTGGGAGTTTCTGTTTTGTTTTGTTGTTGTTTTAAATAAAAACCAAAAAGAAAAATGAAATGATGGATATCCAGCTGCTCTGGATTATGGGGAAACGGTCATGGGATCTGTAACTCTGCTTGGCAATGTATCTTCCCTGCCTTAAACCTATCAGTATCAGCTTGGAATAAAGAGTAATTTAGGAGTCTGCTGGAGCAAGAGGATGGAGAAAAGAAACAATGAAAAGGGGAGAAAGACTTTTTCTTGGCATCATGGACATAAATATTAGGTAGAAATGCTTTGCTTTAAAAGATGTCCAGCTGCAAAACTCCCTAGAAACATCTGTTCTCACTTGGAAGCCCCTTTGTCCTTTAATCTGGCTACTCCAGTGATCCTGTCTGCAGGTAAAGCTCAAAGAGACACACCTGAATCTGTTTCCTGTTGAATCAGACCATCTTCCCCAGTCCAGTTTATTCTTACAATGAAAGAGAAGCCTTTATGGACAATTGATCTATGATTGTTTACATGGTGATACTGCAGGAGATTGCTTGGGATTGTCTAAAACAGGGGTGTCAAACTCAGTTTCATTCAGGGCCACATCAGGATTGTGGCCTGGGGTGTGTGGGGTGTGTGGCTGAGATGGGGTAGGCATGGCCCTTTGCCAGCAAAAATGGAGCTCAGAGGGGCTGTGTTTTTGGCTAGGACAGGCTCCTGCAACCCATTGCCAGCAAAAGCAGAGACCTGAGCTCCGTTTTTGCTGGCAGAGGGCTGCAGGAGGCTGTCCTGGCTGAAAATGGGGCCCTGAGGGAGAATGACTGAAAATGGAGCCTTGGAGGACTGCACATGGCTCTCCTGAGCTCCATTTTTGCTGGCAGAGGCATTGCAGACTGAGCCTTCGCTGTTTTCAGGGTGGCCCCATGGGCCACATCTAAGCACCCTGTGGGATGGATCCAGCACCGGGCTTTGAGTTTGACACCTCTAGTCTAAAACAAGCGTTTTGGCATTAGCTGTGGCCTTTTTCAGCTTATTTGAAATGAATTTGTACAAGATTTGCAAGTAAACATCAGGTCAAATTATTTGTATATCCGTGGAAAGGAAGGAAAGAAGGAAAGAAGGAAAGAAGGAAGGAAGGAAGGAAGGAAGGAAGGAAGGAAGGAAGGAAGGAAGGAAGGAAGGAAAGTTTCCTGACCCACGTTGGCACACACATGCTCCCCCAATTTGTTCTACCCTCCTGCATGCTTTCTTTTATCCACATGGCACTTCTTGTGCCATGCGTCTTGACCCAATGCTAACTCCCCACACACTCTTCCCTGACCCACATAGCACCTGAACTCCATGCACCCTTCCTTCATACTATGCACCATTCTTTCATGCATCCTTCCTCATCTACAAGGCACCTTTCCAAGTGCCTTCTCTGACTCACGTGGCACCCCCACATGCATTTCTCCTGGACCCACACAGCACCTCTTGGACAGACCATGCACCCTTCCTGACTCAAGCTACATTATCATTTACCGCAGGAGGTTACCTCAGATTGTCTAAAACAAGTGTTCTACCATTAGCTTTTCCAGCTCATTTGAAATGCATTCTTACAAGGTTTGAAGATCAGGCCTACTGATCTTTTATGGACTTGGACATTCTGTCAGTGTGAGTGACCAAAAGAAGCCATCCATTCTGCAGAATTTTATCTGCCTTTTCTAAGCTGTATGACCACACTACAGGTTTGAAATCACACTGTTTGTGTATTTCATCCTTCACATATATCTATAGAAGGAGGGGGAAGGTGTGGAAAAATTACTCTCTCGTTTTTGATGTGACATTTTACGGGTAATCAATTTATGAGTCATCTGGCTGGAAACAAGTGAATCTGTCCATTATTCTTTTATTCAATTTCCTCCCCCCCCCTTTTTTTTTCCTTTTCCTTTTTTTTTTTTTTTGACCAGTGCTTTCTGCATCAACATGCAAATTCAACCAGATGGGGAAAAAGGAAAAAGAAAAATCTACTGAAACACACTTGTGTATTTTCAGGTACATTTCTCACAATTATTTATCTAGCAAAGTGCAGATAAATACTTTTTTTTTCTAAGTACACTCCCCCCTCCCCATTAAATGTACATTTCTGTTTTGTTCCAAATGGTGGACAATGTGTAAAATTCTAAAAAGATTTTGGTCTAAAAACATGTTTCAGTTTGCATGTAGCTTTGGAGGCTTCTGTTGTGTTAATTGTTTTGGAAAAGAAATCAGAATAAGCGCATTTTCTTTCCAAGGTTGCTTAAGGTTTACTCTTTGCTAGTTTGGTCTACAGTTGATAGAGCTGATCTCACAAGTAGATTCTCAGGCCTTTCTGGTGATACATATAGTTAGCTTGGGTTCTTTATGTGTAAAAGAATTGCAGATACACTGTGGAGAAAGATAGACATTGAATCTGATGTGAAAGAAGACAGAATTCTATATATTTAATATCTGCCTACCATCTCTCTCTCTCTCTCTCTTTCTTTCTCCCCCCCTCTCTCTCTTCCCTCCCCCCCTCATCTATCTGTCAGCCCATCTCCCTCACAGAGAGACTCTGGGCGGAATGTAATAAAATATTAAAGCTATAAGAACAGTATGGCCAGTGGTGGGATTCAAATAATTTAACAATTGGTTCTCTGCCCTAATGACCAGCTGGGTGGGCGTGGCCATGGTGGGAATGGCCAGGGAGTGTGACAGGCAGCACTTGGGCTCCTGCACAACCCCCAGAGCAAAAATGGGCCATGGGGGCCTGTGCTACCCCCCTGTGCCCCATTTTCAGCCTAGTAGGTCTCTCTGCACATACCTGGGAGCCAAAACAGGGTGTGTGGGGATTCCTGGAAGAGGAGAGGAGGAGAAGGGCAGAGCCAGCCTGCAATTTAGCAACTGGTTCGCCCAAACCGGCCCAAACTTGCTGACTCCCACC